GGATCTCCACGGGGAGGTCGTTCCAAAGGGCTGGAGCTGCAACAGAGAAGGCTCTCCCCCGGGGAGTCGCCAGCCAACATTGGCTAGCAGATGGAATCCAGAGAAGACCTAACCTGTGAGATCTAATCGGTCTATGGGAGGTAATCGGCAGGAGGCGGTCTCTCAGGTGGAGAGAATAGAGCTTCTCTTAACCCTCAAAAGGTTGGAGGGTGGACACTTCTTCATAGAGTTATGGGGGTCCCTCACCTATCCAACCCTACAGTTGCATGGAGGCCATTAGGGAAGGAGAGCTTCTGCCTTTTTGGCATGAGATGGTCACAAAGACCTTCTGCAGAACTTCTCCTGTAGCTGTGTCCTCTCTGGACTCACCCACCAGCACAATCTGACATGGAGCCCATCCGTTTATGGATTCCTATAGCGCAAGTAAATCAGGGATGCCCAACCTTAGCAACCTTAAGACTTGTGGACTTCAACTCCCAGAATTCCCCAGCCAGCCATGCTGGCTGGGGAATTCTGGGAGTTGCAGTCCATGGGTGTTAAAGTTGCCGAGATTATACACACCAGTACAATCACCAAATGGCCTGGGGACTCCTAGAGCATTCACCTACCAAAACGTTCACAGTTTTAACACTAACTCGGTCTTAGAACTGTTATGCAATTGCTAGATTTATGTCCATGGAGATTCTCAGTCATCCAGGTCATGGTGGGTCCCAAAGATGCTTTTTCAAAAGGCAACTAGATGTTGTTTTTCCTTGAAGAAGTTTCACTTCCCGGCCAAGAAGCTTCGTCAGTTCTTGGATGAAGCTTCTAGAACCCAAGAAGCTTCTTGGATGAAAAGCAAAACTCCTTCAAGGAATAGCAAAGTCAACCTGGAGCCAGTCAGGATCGAACTCCTGGCAATGAGTAGAGTCAGCCTGCAATACTGCATTCTAACCACTGTAACATCCCTTCCCTCCCTGTCTCTCTCCTTCTCTCCTTCCTTCCTCCCTTCCCCTCATTGTTTCAGGTGTTATTTTCTTCCTTCCTCCCTCCCTCCCTCCTTCCTTCCCTCCCTCCTTCCTTCCCTCCTTCCTTCCTTCTTTCCTTCCTTCTTTCCTTCCTTAACACTATGATTTAGACTTGTATACCGCTTCACAGTACTTTTACTGTCCCCTCTAAGCGGTTTATAGAGTCAGTCTCTTGCCCTGAACAATCTGGGTCCTCATTTTACCCACCTCTGAAGGGTGGAAGTCCGAGTCAACCTTGAGCCGGTGAGGATTGAACTGTTGAACTACTGGCAGCCGACAATCAGCAAAAGTAGCCTGCAGTACTGCACTCTAACCACTGCGCCACCAATGCAGACTCCTTCACCTTGATTTGTGTTTTGTTTTTCTGCTCTTTTTTGCAGTACATCCATCACAGCCCTGGCAACTCCAAGCGAGGCTTTGGCATCGATTGTGCCATCTTATCGTGCCAGGTCTACATCTCCCAGATCCTGGTAGCTTCCGCCCTGGGAGGCGTGGTGGATGCTGTGGGCACCGTCCGGGTCATTCCGGTAGTGGCGTCCGTGGGCTCTTTCCTGGGCTTCCTGACGGCCACCTTCTTGGTGATTTACCCAGATGTTGGGGAAAGTTCGAAGGAAGAGCAGAAGGAGCTGGCCCCGCCAGCCGCAGCAGAAAGCAGCAGCGGGAACGAGGAGAAACCGATGGTGATCAAACTCACCCGTGGAAAAGATCCGACTGCACCAGAGGTGGAAAGCGAGTCGGCCGTTTGAAGGCGCCCCTCACGCACATTCCAAGCAATCCAGATGCAAAATCCAGAACGTCCTTCAAAGCAAAATTTTGAATTTTTAGCGGGCAGCTCCCACCATTTTAATTTGCAGCAGGGGGATTTTAGGGAGGGTGGGAGGGGAAGATGATTTCACGCAATTGTGGAGCCCAGAAGATTTTCATGTTGACGGTTTTCTCTACAATCCAGAAAAAAAAAATTCTCTCTTTCTTAGAGGTGTTTTTAATGAAGAGAAACGCGTTTTTGGATTTCCGAAGCGGTTTTTATCAACCAGAAGGAAAATGTCCTTCTGGATTTTTTTTCGGGTTTTAAAAAGTCATGGCGTTCTTTTCTCTCTTTTGTTTTTCTCCCGCCAATTATTCATTTGGACATTTCTTTATTTTATTTTTTGGACAATTGGAAAGTTTGGGATTTAACTTGAGCCGTTCTTGCTTCCTCTTTTTTTTTTCTTTCAGGAAAAAGAAAGCTTTTGCTGTTATCTTCTCCAGGCCGCTTAGTTCTTCTTAAAAGACAATCAATTTGCATTTGGTTGAAATTTGTGCATTTGTAGAATCGATGCAATATTAAAATCGACAGCTTTCCTTGGTGGGGTGGTGGTGGTTCCCCCCCCCCCACCTTTCCTCTCTTGAACTTTGGCCTGGAACTCATTATTTTGGGAGTCATCGCTGTTCTCGCCCCCAATTTTATGGGAAATTATCGCAGCAGAGTCAACAGTGTGAACGCTTGCTCGTTTATTTATTTTAAAAAATAAAAAAATAAAATTCAGGCCGATGGGGGTAATTTTTCACTTTGAAACCCCCAGGCACTCTGGATCCATAGAAGCTTTTTTTTTTTTTTGGTGGAAGGAAAGATAATTTTAGCTAGTTGGGATGGTGAGGAGAAAAAAAAATACCAGGTGGGGGAAAAAAGCAGTGACTCTTGATACCCACAAACCCTGGGTCAATTTGAATTTTTCTATTTTGGAGTTTGGTTGTCCCAGCTTAGTGGCGTTTGAAAAGCCATTCATCTCCTTTGCGACAAAGCTGCTTGGGGAATCTCCACCGTCCATCTCTTCAAGTCGATTGTGTGGGTTCCCTCGGGGTTTCGGTTTTTTTGGGGGGGGGAGGGTTGGGGAGGGGGAGGGGAGGGTTGTTGATTGCACTTTTTTCGGAAACTTCCAGGCTGGAAACAAGTTGGCGAACAGGTGGTCTCGCGAAAACCAAAGGCCTACCTCTGAGATTTGCAGAGTAGCAAATATTTGTCTGCCTACTACGTGTTCGATTGTTCGTTTCTTTCTTTTTCCTTGCTTGCTTTTTATTTTTATTTTTTATTTTAAAAAAAGAAGCTTTTGGGCCTTCAAGAACGCAACTTTTTTTTCAAAATGTGGCAGCTTTTTCCTCGACTTCGGAGCGGGGGCGGGGCGGAGAGATGTCGCTGGAATCTAAAAGGAATTTTTCCTCAGTTTTTTCCTCAGTCGAAAATTACTTACCCGCCTTTCTCCTTTCCTTTGGATCAGACGTTGATTTAAGCGGTTCACGTACAATCTGTGCGTAAGACCCCCCCTCCCCCATCTTCTCCATCGGTGTCCTTCAGAGGCGCTGAAATTCTGCAACTGGAGGAAGCCGGAAAATTTGGCATGTTCCAGCGCTTAAAAACTAAAAAACTTCGGGTTTTTCGCTCCTCTAGAAAGTTCTCCTCCCGTAGACTCTTTCCGATGCAGATTTCCACACAGAATGTTGCAAACTTGTTATTTTCTTCTCTTTTTTTCCTGCTGCTCCTTCCGGTAACATCTCTGTAAAACACTTGTCAGCGAGCCGAGCAGTTGAGAAGCAGGCATTTATCTTTCTCTACATCTAATTCAGAGAATCCGTCTTTAATCTCTTACTTGAATTGTCGATCCGTTTCAAAAGAAGACGTCGAGTTTTTCGGAACTGTAGCGGTCGTCCTTCGGCTGGGGTTTTGGAGAACACGGAAGAGGGAGTCAACCAAAGATGGATAGATCTTGGATCCCACCGTAAAACTTCCCCATCTTTGACTTGGTCGACCACGGCCTGAGGACAGCCCTGATTTTGCAGCATCTTCAGTCTTCGGCCAATCCCGTCATTTTCCCTCTCCTTTCTAGGGAATTTTATAGAAGCTCGTTTTCTTACCGGAGTTTCGTAGAACTATTTTTAAAGGACCGAAAGGATATTTCGTTTCTTCCTCTTCATCACCTCACCCACCCACCACCTCCAAAATATGTCATTTGGAATATTTGTTCCCCCCCCTTTTTTTTTAAGAGGGTGACTTGAAGGCTGTTGAAATTGGGAAATGGATTTTACGGTGGAGTTTTTAGCTAAGTGTGTTCTCCTCCTGTCCCACTCGGAGACTTTGCTACACCTTAACACCTGCAACTCCACTACTCCTCACCACCCAGCAGTGTTTTAATTTACCATGAGAGAGCCCCCCCCCCCTTTCGGAATAGCTGCTCAGCGCACTTCCCTTTAAATCTGCAATTTTAAGTACAATGCTTGGCCTTTTTAGAAGGGCCCTGCTGAATAGGAGTCTCGATGATTCATATGAAATGAGATTGCTAGGCTCATTTTCTCTTCTTGGAGTAAGAACAAAAAAAAAAAAAAAAACCCAATCGTCTCTTTCTCTCTTCAGAGGAATTTTGCTCTTAGAGTTGTTCGTTCCCTTCCTTGGAAAGCTAGTTTTCATTCCGTTCCATCAATAATCAAAATAAATAGATCAACATTCTGCTTGGCAGAGAAATTCGAAGCATTCAAGATGGTGACCACGATTGTATGATTAATACCACTCCCCCTTTTCTCCACCCCTCTTAAAAGGGGAGGGGCCTTGATCCCAGAACGGCCATCTTGATTTTTTTTCCCACCCAACCTTCATTCAAAATCAAAAACAAGCAATAACGTGGTAGTTTGCCCCCAAAGATAAACTTCCTTAAGGGTGGGGCAGGGGGTTCTCCAACCTTGGCCACTTTTAAGACTTGTGGACATGCTGGCTGGGAATTCTGGGAGTTGAAGCCCACAAGTCTTAACGTGGCCAAGGTTGGAGACCCCTGCTTTAGGCCAGGGCGAGTCAAAACATCAGAGATTGTGCTTGTTCCTTCTTGGTTAATTGAGAAGATCTGGTCCTTTGTTCAATGAGATCCTTCTTGGCTCTGGGATGGGAGAAAGGAAAGGCCTCTTAGATGTTGGGCTAGGAAGGTGGGTCTGTTTTGGTCCTTGTCCTTCTGAAGTCATTGGATAAACCACACTGCCATACCCAAGTTAGCTTTCTGCCCAGTTCTGGTGAAGAAGGGACCTCTTGGCTTGAAAGTCCAATCTTCTCAGCATTCCTCGTGTTTAGACTTCCTGGCAGAATCACCCCCGTTTATCTCTGGAGGGTTATCTTAAGAACATCAAAATGGCTGCCCCCCTGTCTGAAAAGAGCTGTGCAGGCTATCATTAAATTGGTATTAAATTAAATGGACATTAAACCTGAGCTTTAGATTTGTAGGTCTATTTGTCTATCTGGAAGACAGTGGGACACACGCTTGGCTCTTTTTTTTTTAAACTGAAAGTGATTTAATCTCGTGTCATTAAAACCCAGGACACGATTTGAGTCTTTCTCATTCAATTGGGAGATCCCCAAACTATATTGGTCAAAAACTAAAGTGTAATTTGAGTGTTTTAGGAATAGCAAAAAGCAACTCTTGGCAGTATATTTTGGTTTGGGCCTTGGGATGAAAACAAAATTCACAGTGTCCTATTTATGCTTCTCTTTCCATGGTTTTTTTTTGGGAGGGGGGGGGCATAAATGGCGCACATTGAAAAAAAATCCTCATCTCTTCAGGTTGCTCAATTAAAACCCACATTTTTTTCCTTACATGTGAGGCATCTTATCTTGTCTATCAAATCCAGCCGGCTCTGTGGAGTCCTGATTAGCTACTGACCACATTTGCTTTAAGAAATACTGAAATTTATTTCCTATCGGACAATGACAAGTTTTCATCATTTAGGATGAAATAGGAAGTGGGGGGGGGGAAAGCAATAACCTTTTTTCATTAATTTTTGGAAATGGGCTCTTAATTTGGTTAGGAAGACTTTTAGCCAACCAGCTGTTAAAATATTCTATAATTTTTCTAAGCACCTCATTCAGACCCTGTTGGAGTTTAGTCAACGAAGGGACCTCCTTCACTCCGAAAGACAACGGAGGTTGAGCAAACAGCTCATCTAGAAAAGGAATTTGATGCTTTCAGGTTCTGTGCTGGGCCATTTAATTTAGATTATTCATTGGCAGTGGAGAACCTCTGGAGAAGATCTCCAGTCCATTGTGGTGGTCTTCCTCCATGCTAAAACTTCTGGAGGGAGAGGTTTGGAGAATGGACACCTTTGATTTTACATGTTTTGGAAAGATCTCTGGCAGAGATGCAAAATCAAGTTTCAGTGAGAGCTGAACTGTTATCATGCGTGATTCGCTAATCTGATTTGGGTTGAACAGAATCGAGGCCTTCAACTTGTGGTTAGCAAATGAGAACCAGACTGGGCCTTCAAGGAGACTTTTTTCAGGTACATGCAGACATGAGGAAGAGGAAGAGAAGGCAGCCATTTTGCCACCACACATTTTAAGAAAACTGGCAGATGTTCCTGGGTAGAAGCTTCTGGTGATGAACTTTCTAGAACAGGGGTCTCCAACTTTGGCTTCTTTTAAGAGTTGTGGACAAAGCTGGCTGAGGAATTCTGGAAGTTGAAGTCCACAAGTCTTAAAGTTGCCAAGGTTGGAGACCCCCGTTCTAGTTCCGATTTGATTGCAGCTCAGTTTGGAAGTACATCTAGCTCCTTTTCGGTCAATTCACCTGTGATCCCTCTTTGTTCCTTTAAATCACTTGAACCCGTGCTCCTTCGGTTGCCCTGTTGTTTGCCAACAACCTCTCCATGCCCTGTTAGCAAGCAGCAAGCCATGTTCGATTTAGTTGGTGGCTTCCTCAGAAGTACTATGTAGTTTTCATCCATTTGCAGACCGCCTTGGTTTCTCTCTCATAAGCCCAATAAAATTTAAGGACATCCCAAAGTTGCACA